GTAATTTTTTGTCTAATGTAGACCTGAATATGGTGGGGCTGCACCTGAGGCATGTTTGGTGTGATTTATTGTATGAGCAAACGAAGCTGGGGACGACTGCTTGTACCTAAAGAGTCGCTCACCACGGTAACATATGATTTAGCTAGTGCATGAACTAGTTTTGGTTTCAAAGTCATAACCTGCACTAGTGAAATTTGAATTCACAGCTTTCAAAATATGCCCAAATGCACTCTATCAACATTAGCTACCATTCCCAGTGACAAGTATGACAAGCAACCAGAATCTCTTGATGGACAAATTTGAACTTAGCATTTTAACTGCAAAACCCAAGAACAAGAGTTCGTATGAGTAGCCATGCCATGTGTGTTACTAGTACTCTGTTCCTTGGATTAAAATAAAACACAATTAATAAACTCTAATCTAATTTGCTAATCTCTCCATCTAAGCTTGGAATTTATGAAGGAGCAGTCAGATTTTACTGGCTGGCCAGCAGATCCTTTTAGCTGGAACAGAGCAACACTTCATAATATTTGTATAATTGTCATTACAATATTTGTAATTTTGTTTTGTATGGTGATATTTTGTACCTTCAGAATTCCTTAATAAAAATCTCAACTGTTTCAAAAGCAGGCTAGATATAGCACAGCCATATTACAGATAAATACAGACTTTAGCTGCAGCTACATATAGGGAGAATGCTAATGCTGTACTAATACAGAACCAAGAGAATGAAGACCAGGAGGAAAACATACTTTTAACACCTACAGACCATGAAGTGTGAGCGTTGTGTGCATACAGGCATAAATTATGTGCACAAACCATTTGCAGTTCTGTGACAGTAATGCAAGCCTTTAGCTAGTGTAACAGAAATAAGCTGACTGCCACGTTCAGCATCCTGACTTACTCTCTCATGGATGACTCCCAGACAGTAAGGTTGGCAGCAACCTACGTATCAACGGAGTCAACAAGAATTTTGTAGGAGAAGAACATCTTCCTGTTCATTCACCTCTGAAATAATTAAATTATGCAGTGCAACTCCAAAATTATTTTTGCTTTCTTGATTGATATTGAAACATTAATACTTCCCTCTTAACCATTTCTTCCAAGCTAAACTTGTATTATAATGTCGGACAAAAACCTGGGTTTCCCTGGCTTCCAGCCTTGAGTGCTGCATTAAAAAAAAGAAAAAGAAGATTGGTGCAAAATATCGCCTGCATTTCTGTGTGTGTCTGTTTATGTATTTATCTTATTATTCTTATTTTTTTATTGTTATTAAACAGTTAGCAAGTGGCTGACTATGTACCAGCATAACCTTTGAGAACTACTGCTTCTCATAAATAAGTTTAGTTTGCCCACCATCAATTCTGCACGCCACTGGCTATTTACCAAGTATTAGTATTTGTGGTACCATCAATGGACTTCTCCTCATACAGCAGGGCTCTAGTAGCTACTGGGCCACCACTGCCAAGCTCCTGTTAGCCTGAGAAATGGAGCAGGGCACTGACTGCTGCTTTACAGGATGCAGGCTTGCAAAAATGTGAGAAGAGAGTAATTGTCCTTGCCTCCCCACAACCCTCTGTTTTACTTTCTCTTCCAATCATTTTTTGGGTCATTTCTATGGCAAGGAAGTGCTTTAGCGCCTTTTGTATTACGTGCTTTCTGGTCTTGAATTTGCCGGTGGATGTCTCACACTCCTGCCTACTATGGTAGGTACGTAACCATGACTGCTATATTCCTGCTTTTTTCCAAAGGTCTGCCCAGTTTTTTTGTGCTTGGTTTGATTCTTTCTGAACACCAGCAGATTGAAGCAGAACGTTTTCATGCACTCTGAGAAAGATAAACGCAGGCAGCACAGTTCATAAGCTGTTGCTCAGAAGAATTTGAGATTCATTAAATTTGGTTTATTGATGTTTATTTATTACCATACTACCTTGAGACCAAGCAGTACTGGGTCTTCTTTATGCTGCATCCCATGCACCCCCAAAGAGAGCATCCTGCCCCAAAGAGTCGCTGACTATATTGAGACAAGCTGCAGGAAAGGCATAAGGCACACAAAGGAAACGGCCGGTGGAAGGATGGCAAATGCCATGCTCGTTGTACAGTTTTACTTTAGAAGGGGAAAAATAGGAAGGAAGCCTGAAGACTTTGTAAAGTGAGGAGTGGGGGATAAAAGAAATTTAGAACATGCAATTGGCAATTTCTTTTTTAAAAAAGCAAGGAAGCTTGAACTGAAGGGCAAAGACGTTATCTTTGCTCTGGCTTAAAATACTTCTGAAGGTACTGCAGCTGCTTCAGCTAGTGTAGTTTCCCCCATCACCACCACTGTAAAGTCTAAGTGGCTGAACATGGGTCAAGCACTATTTGTTCTCCACCTCCCAACTCTGGACCTGCAGGTTGAGGGGAAGCACAGTGGAAAACAGCCGTGGGTGGGCCCCGTTTTATCCCCTTCTTCCCCTCCTCTCCTTAAGGCTACTACCATTTTGTCTGCAGCTGCTTTATGCCCTTTCTTATCCACTTCACTTGCTCCTTTAAATCTCTATTTTCCAAGGCTCTTCCAGTTTAGTACTGACATATCTCAGAGCCCAGATTTACTTCCAGAACCTTCAAGATTCATTTGTTGATCTTATGATCTGAATAAGAAAAAAAAATTCCTTTCAGCCAGAGGAAGACAGAGTTGTCAGTTTCTCTGCTGTGTCTAAATGGTATTGCTTATCCTGCTGGACAACATCCATGCGTCAAAGGTTAACCTATGGACAAGGCTCAGGTGCAGCAGTGTTATCAGGCTGTAAGCACATATCTGGTACCTCTGTTTTATTACTCACTTGATATTCTGCCCTTTTGGGGGGCTTCTGGGAGTATCAGGTACCGGCATCATTGGAACTACACTCCCATTTACACCAGGTCACTGGCTTTTAGATGTTCAGGATGATTTTGGACTGTTAGCTCCTCCACTTGTTTCGGAAAGTGCCAGAGGGATCTGGCAGCAGCAGTGTTCGTCATGGCTGTATGATGTTACCCTAGTGAATGCAAAGGCAGAAAAGGAAGATAACAGCTCTTTCAGGACAAAATTTTTTTACTTAAAGAACCCAACCATATCAGCAGGGTTCACAGCAGGTATGTCACAAGCCATATTATTAGTAGAAAACAGGATTACTGAACTGTCAAAGAACGATCTTAAGTTAATCTATAGGAGATCCCATATTTTTAATGGTTTTTCCTGTTTGTTTTGGAGAGCAACTGCAACATTTTCAGCCCTGAAAGTAATACACAGCATCTACGCATCTGGGGAGAGCTGAAGCTGTTGTTATTGTCTTGCTAAATGGATACTGGTAAAAATTAGAAGTGCTTCTCAGGAAAAATCGTGTAGAAAAATTTAGCTCTGATATTGCCGTGCTGTCAGAGAAGGGAGCAGGTACCAGAGAATTCATTGCTTGATCCACATTGTTAAACATTCACTGCTGAAAAAAGACATAAAAAATGTAAAAATTGAATCTCCTATGGCAACCTTCCTTGACTTATTGAAGTATCTATCATGACTACCTTCCCTTCCTTCCTTTTTGTGCAGAAACTTTGAATTAGATGTCCACTGTTGAAAATATTTCTACAAGTTCCTTGCAAAATCAGTTGCTGTTTGTGGAGGGAGATGTTTTCCAAGTCTCATATGCAAAGTATGGTCAGAGACCTTGTGCAGTACTGCACTGAATTATCACAGTAAATCAGGTAATTTATTAAGTTAATCCTTAAAATCCTTAAAACTTAAAATGTAAATGTACCTACCGAACCAGAAGCCCTATGTCACTTGTGCTCACCACATACAGATGCTTTTAAACTAGAGAGAGAGCACAAGCAAAGCCTAACTTGAAAGAAGTATGTGATAATAGTATTAGTTAGTATTTTGAGAAAGGTAGCATATACTCCTTTTCCTGAAAAAGAAAAAAGGATTATGACAGTAAATTCTCAAAAACTGGCACAGGCTGCATAAAGCTGCCCTCAGCTCAATCAGCAGCAGCATTATTTCTGTAACACACATTCAAACAGCTTCTGCAGTGGGCTTCTAATTGTGGTAAATTTCTCATGTAATAAATCCAGCTGGACTTTTAAATGTAGTACTTCCAAAGATAGATGGAGAAGAAAAAAGAAGGCTACTAAATAAGACAACAGCAGTTTGCATGTGGAAGGTACAAATATGAAGGGATGGCTACAAGGCAAGTAAGAAAGTAATTGAAAGCATCACAACACTTAAAAGGCTGCCTCTATTCCTAGTGAAAAGAGCCAAAATTACAAAGGAATGTACATTTGTTTCTATCCTGTCAAGGAATTGTATTGATAAATCATGTCTGGCCACAGTGAGAACCCCCAGCCCAGGAGGAATTGCTCTCTAGTCACACTCAGCTGTCTCCCGCAGGCAGTGGCACAGGCAGTCACCATCCACTTAATCTTTTATGCAGTTCTGTATTTGAGAAGATGCAGCCCTGTTCACTCCTTGCAATAAGCAAGTTACGGCACACAAAGAATCTTTCTTATTGGAAAGATTTTTTTTACAAGTTTTAAAAAATTTCTCGTGTTCTGCAACAATAACATTTGATGTGGAAAATGAATGAGTGAGAGGTCCCAGAATAGCCAATACCAAGACCTCAGTGTATAACATGTATATAACATTGTATATAATCATGTACATAAGGTGTATGTAACAATGGTATATACATTGGCAAGGAATGCAAAGAATAATAAGAAGGGCTTCTACAGGTACGTTGGCCAGAAAAGAAAGCTTAAAAAAAATGTACCCCCCCCCAAAAAAAAAAGAGACAGGAGAACTAGTGACAACCGGCATGGAGAAGGCTGAGGTACTTAACAATTTTTTTTTACCTCAGTTTTCAATGGTAATCTCTCTTCCCACATCTCTCAAGCCCCTGAACCTCAAAGCAGGGATGGAGAGAATGAAGTCCTTCCCATCATAGGTGAAGATTGGGTTCGAGATCACCTGAGGAATCTGAACATGTATGTCTGTGGGACCCAACGAAATGTATCCCAGGGTCCTGAGGAAATTGGCTGATGCAGTTGCCAAGCCAATCACAATCATGTTTGAAAAGTCATGGCAGTCAGGCAAAGTCCCCAGCGACTGGAAAAAGGCAAACATCACGCCCATTTTTAAAAAAAATAAAAGGAGGACCCTGGGAGCTACCGACTACTGGCTCACCTCTGTGCCCAGTAAGATCATGGAACAGATTCTGCTGGAAGATATGTTGAAACATATGGAAGACAAGGAGGTGATTAGAGACAGTCAACATGGTTTCACCAAAGGCAAATTGTGCCTGACTAATCTTGTGGCCTTCTACGATGGAGTGACTGCATCAGTGGACAGGGGAAGAGCTATGGATGTGATCTACCTGGACTTCTTTAAGGACTTTGATACAGTCCCCTCCAACATTCTTGCTGCTAAATTGGAGACATATGGGTTTGATGGATGGACTATTAGATGGATGAGAAATTGGCTGAATGGCTGCGTCCAAAGAGTTATAGTCAATGGCTCAATGTCCAAGTGGAAACCAGTAACCAGGCTATACCAGATTCAGCCAAAGCTATACCAAATGTGTTTTCATCAGGTGGTGGATGACATCATGATGAGTGGTGTAGTTGGTATGCGTGAGGGAAGGGATGCCATCCAGAGGGACCTTGACAGGCTTCAGGAGTGGGCCAATGTGAAACTCATGAAGTTCAACAAGGCCAAGTGCAAGGACCTACACCTGGGTCGGGGCAATCCCCAGTATCAATACAGGCTGGGGGATGAAAGGATTGAGAGCAGTCCTGCAGAGAAAAAAGGGGATACTGGTGGATGAAAAATTAGACATGAGCCGGCAATGCGCACTTGCAGCCCAGAAGGCCAATCGTATCCTGGGCTGCATAAAAAGAAGCGTGACCAGCAGGTCGAGGGAGCTGATTCTCCGCCTCTACTCTGCTCTCGTGAGACCCCACCTGGAGTACTGCATCCAGCTCTGGGGTCCCCAGCATACGATAGATATGGACCTATGAGAGCGAGTCCAGAGGAGGGTCACAAAAATGATCAGAGGGCTGGAACACCTCTCCTCTGAAGAAAGGGTGAGAGAGGTGGGGTTATTCAGCCTCGAGAAGAGAAGACTCCAGGGAGACCTTGTTGCCGCCTTTCAGTACTTAATGGGGGCTTATAAGAAAATTGGAGAGAGACTTTTTACCAAGGCCTGCAGTAACAGGACAAGGGGCAATGGTTTTAAACTGAAGGAGGGTAGATTTAGATTGGATATAAGGAAGAATTTTTTTATGCTGAGGGTGGTGGAACAAGTAGCTGGAACAGGCTGCCCAGAAAAGTTGTGGATGCTCCATCATTGGAAGTGTTCAAAGTCACGTTGGATGGGGCTTTGAGCAACCTGATCTAGTGAAAGATGTCCCTGCCCATGGCAGGGAGGTGGATTAGATGATCTTTGAAGGTCTCTTCCAACCCAAACCATTCTATGATTTTATGATTCCAATGTATAACATGTCTATAACATTGTATATGGGCCAAATGTTGTTGGACATTATTTATATGTACTTACAAATTTTTATTTTTGTAAGATGGAGCAGCATGAAAATGAGAAAGAAAGCATATCTCACATTGCCTACCTAGTACATTGACTCTCAGAATCGGAAGCAGGAAGACTAAAGGCTTAAGTCATGTTTTCCCAAGGTCCATACAAGTGTTCTTCCTAATAAAGGATTGATTATTCTGATGTTGAGTGTTATTCGTACTTTTTTTTTGTTTTTCAGAGAAATGTCCTGTCCATGGTAAAACTGATACATATAGAAGTCTTCTAAAGAGCTCTAATAGGGATAAATTAATGCTTTCTGATATATATTTTTTTAAAACTTTGCAAAAAAAAGTCCCATCTGAGCTACTTGTCTCAATATCAGCTACAGATAACACACAGAAATGGGCACCTCTAGAGTACTCTTCATTAAACCTTACAACAGTATTCTAAAATAGATCAGATAATTTGCACCTTCTCTCCACCGCCTACAAAGAGAAGACAGATTAGGCATTTAAAACATGTCTGTAAATAGATAGAGATTAATCCTACCCCAATTCGCTATTGAGTCTGTCTTTCCTAAGTCAAACATTACGGTTTTCTGTGTCCTACAATTTCTCTTTGTTATCTAGATAAATTATATGCATTTTTGGAGAAGGGTTATGTTTATGCTTGCCACCTAGCAAAATGGGGTACAGCTCTCTCAGCAGTACTGTAATATAAATAATGCATGTGTTATCAAAAAAACTTAAAAATTGCGAAGTATCAATTGCAGTATCTAAAACAGTAGTTTGATTAGGTAATAGGCAGTTGCATAGGAAATCCTGCTTACAAAATCAAAAATTTAAATGTAGGGGAAAGCAGCTGCCTCATTAAAACTTTTTGTATCTGTAACACAGTGTTTCCAAACTTTTGCTTGGAGCACTCTTGGAGAGATGACTAGCAAATATGCATTCGAATAGACCCCTTCTTACTTATATTTCTAATGTAATGACCTGAAAACCTTTTTTAATTTCTTTTGCTTCTTGTTTCTTTCTTCTAGTACTTCTCTCTCTCTTCTGTGGGTTCTTTCTATTTCTTGTCATTCACTCTTCTTTGTCCTTTTTCTTGAGCCTTCCCTCCTCCTATTGTCCCTGAAAATTTGGATTAGCACCTTCCTGTCATGAAGAAACCAGCAAAGCTTGCATGGAGACTTCAGTGGACATGTAACTTCCTTCACTGATTTCCATAGATGCTTCCCCATTATAGCAACAAAAGAGCAAGATGATAGTGAAATGAGCTTTTATAGTGCAATTCATTGTCAGGTAAGTTCTCCAGACAAGAAGGCTTGGTCTTGCAGTAAAAAAATGCCCAGCTTTTCTTGGGAAAGTGTCTGACAAAAGGCTTTCTAACCTTCCACTGTAAGATAAGGCAAAATCTCCAATGAAATCTTGGAATTCAGATTAATGGGTACAGATATGCTGGAAAGCTGCACATTTATAACAAGATGTAAAGCAGATCTTTATTCTATACAGAGAGAAGTATTAAGGAATGTATTATGCCTATAGGTAAACTCAAAGCTCTGATTAGGCAAAAGCATCTCTCGCTAAGCCAACCAACCATTGTCTTACTTCTGTTGCAATTTGCATTTTAAAAAAAATCATATAAGATACCTTGCATGCAGTGAACCTGTTTGGATTCAGTAAGGTTAGTGCTTGAGCTGCTGAATTCCACGTGGAACAAGGAACATGTGTCAGCCCTATTTGCCTTCAGGCCCATGAAGAGGAATCTGTCCATGGAAATAAGGTAATTTCTTAGCAATGTAATTTAAACATTCCTTTCTTCTCCCCATATTATAAAAGATATTGTTAAGCACTGCAAGATGAAAATCAGAAGCAGCTCAGACATTCTCTTTGGCTTGCTGACTTGCTATTATCTTCCAAATCCATGCAAATTACTAACACACAAAACAGTATTCAAGATGCTCTTGACTTATTCATAAGAGATAAGAGATACCAGATATGCACAAGCTCCCTTAGTTTCTGAAGGAACTGGAAGTCCTCAGCAAAGAATTTTCCCCAAAGATTTTGAGTCTTTATCATTTTTCATTGGACTGCTAGTGAAGGTCATATTTGAAAGTAACAGTTAATTTATCTGAGATTATAAAGTTAACTGTATTCTCTAGGTTTTTCTATTACAGTTCCCCAGCAAAAATATTCCAAACATGAAATCTTCTGCCAGGTTCTGGATGAGTGTGAAATGACCTAGCTCTGATAAAATTTGTGGAGCTTTGCCTGGGCAGATCAAGCCTTGCACAGTTATAGGGAAAAAAACCCCAATTAAATAGAATAAAAAGTTCTGTGTCCTTGCTTGAGTGATGCCCTAAATCAGCTTGGAATTGGACTTGCGGATGCTCATCTCCAAGGCTTTTTCCATCTGTAGGTCATGACTATTTGGAGATGGATGACTACTAGCAACCATCAGCCAGTCCAAGGATCTCCCGAACTAAAGTGCTATTTACTCTATAAGGAAACAGTTTCAGTAATTTTCAGAAGCTAGTGTCTCAAACTCTGGTTTAGGATATGCCTTATAACAAAAACAGCAAATCAGAATGGTACAGGTAAAGCTTAACAGCATGCCTTTGGAAGCCCTAGCAGCTCTTAGTAGTATTCATTCCACAAGAGACAATTCTTTCTGGTATTTCCTGTGCAGTAGGTAAGTCCCTTTCCCCCATCCCTCCCCCAGTCCAGGAAAACCTCTTGACTGGTTCCTCACATCTGGAAAGAGCCCGGATTGTAGTCATCATCAAGAATAATACAGATTAAATGGGTATTTCTGACCCCTGCCCTCAGAGAACACATTGTAACTCTTCAACTGATAACTTACATTGTCCATATAAACCGTGTATGTCTTGTAAAATAGCTTACTAATGGTATTTTTTAAACCATACATTTTTCTCACCTAGAATATGCACGGAGAGAGAGACAGGTCTATGTGCATACATTTATATGTTCAAAATGGGCCCAAATAAAATAATAATGCTAAACTGATTAAATTTGGAGTACAGTGCTACAGCCAATTCTTAATATCTATAAAAACTTCTTCTCTTTTTGCTTTCAAATGCCTACCATCTTGCAAAGCAGAAGTCAAAAAAAAAAAACAATCCACAGGATTCCTACAGTTGTATATCAGTTTTCTAAGCCTCAGATGAGGGAAATGGGTAATTAAAGTTAATGGAAAGCTTTCAGTTGTTAAGTGTTGGGGAGTGGCTCTGCATATTCACTATAGCTTAGTGGAGAATTCACGTTCATGTTCAGCTTGCTGTCCACCACCACCCCATGGACTTTCCCACAGAGCTGCTCCCCAGCCCCTCCAGCCCCAGCTCATGTCAGTCCAAAGGCTCTGCCCTCTCTGGGGCAGCACTTGGTGTTTGTCCTTGTTGAATTTCATGGAGTTCCTCTCAGCCTAATCCAGTGACCTCTGTGGGACCCTCTGGATGGCTGCTCTGCCCTCAAGCATATTAACTGATCCCACCAGTTTGGAGTCACCTGCAAACGTGACGAGAATACACTCAATAAAGCTGTTAAGTAAGACAGGTCCCAGGAGAGACCCCCGTTGTTCTCCTGTTGTCACAGGCATCCAAGTAGAGTATGATGCATTAACATCATTCTTGTAGACCAACCATCCAACCAGTTTTTCATCCAACTGGTTGTCCACCCATCCACCATAACATTCTAATTTTTGAACAAACATGTTGTGGAGACAGTGTCAAAATTCTTGCTGAGTTCAGTTAGGAAACCAGTAAACTACTGGAATATGGTAGGTTGTGCTAGGGAAAGGATCAGTCTGTACTTACCCTCTTTCCCCTAAGAATCCTTTATTAACTATTACTAGAGGCAAGATGGGCTATATGGACTTCTGATCTGAACGTGTCTTACATTCTTGCTACATATTCTTCAGGCACATCTATTTATCAGTAGAAGTGCAGGTTAAAATATACCTATATAGAAAAATGCCAGACTTCTTTCACCTTTGCCATCCCCTATACTCCACTTACAGTTTTTCTTCATTCTCCCACCAAATTCTACAATGATTCAACAAAACTGAAGAAACACATAACCACGGAGCAGAGAATGACAGCTGCATTTACAGGTGCCAGAATGATAGCTGAAGTCTGCTTTTGGCATTGCTCAATGGTGCTGAAAACTGTAAAAACGCCAGTTTCAGATATTTCTTTTAACTTTCATTATAGTGACTGGCTTTTTTTCCTACGTGCTAAAAACCGTGGAAGTCAGCAGCATGTTCCGTGTATTCAACTTGTGCAGGACCAGGGCTTGCCTTTTACACAACATCTGCTATATCAGTTTTATTGATATTCTCTGCACTGCTCCATGGAGAGGGGTTTTGCAGTATTGCTTAACATCAAGCATCATTATGAAAGAGCTTGTGCTTTGGAATTCTTTAATGGCATTTGCAAATACTTGTTTCTCTCAATCCACCATCCACCTACATGGAATAAAGCACTAACCTAAATGGTCAAGCCCACCCTACATGTAACACCATTTTCTAATTGCTCCATAAGTAGTATCTCATCATCAATGTTACCTGTGTTGGAATAATCTTTGAATAAGATGTGTATTTACTAAGCAGAAAATTCAAAACTTTCCTTCATTGGAATCTCCTTTACTCATGACAGATTGTCATATTTCATTTGATATTATCTACTGACCTGGTTTTCCATGCATGCCCTAACCATTTTAACTGAGCTCCTCGTTACCTAAAGCACAGAATTGTAATTCTACAATCTGCTATTCACTTTGTATGTAAAGAATTCCTTAACTCCTCAGGGAGCTATTGAACAGCATATATGGCAGCCTGATCACAAAGTTGCTTTACATTTTTAATTCTTTGGTTGTAAAGTGTTGCTCTTCCTTACATCAGAAATGAAATTTCATAATTCTGGAGTCAAGACCTCATCATTGCTAACATTCTTTTGGGAGTGCTATAATGGTCTTTGGTATAATGACACAAAAAATAGTGCCACATGGAAAATGCAGAGAATATAGAGAAAGCACCCAAGGACATCTAAGGCTACAGCTTAAAATCTCTGTGAATTAAATCTCAGGACTATTTTCTGTTATAACAGTCTTTCAATTCTTGCAGCAAAGACTGACCTAATGGAAATGATAATACACTGGGGTTTCTGATTGTGGCAGATATTGCCTTTCAGGTGCCTTTTTGATTTTTTTTGATCTGAGCTTTAGGTAATATGTGTGAGTTGAAAGTTGGGACAATTTTTCACCCTTACAA